TTCAACTTGAGCTAGCTTTTGTCTAAGTACATGCCACATGGTGTCGTTACAAAGTAAAATGCAGATGTTAAGTTTTACTTTTTGTTTTTTAGTTTATACATCATTAGCACCTTGCATTTGGAGTTTCTCATCCATAGTTATTCTAATGATATTGTTGCAAACATGCTGTTGTGAATGCAGTTACCATCTTGCTGAGAAGAAAATTCCTTCTATCCATGGACATACAATGGGATTAAAACTAGAGCAGTTCATATTTGATGCGTTTCCATATGCACCTTCAACTGCACTTTTTGAGGTGACTTCATTTTCCCCTCTCCCCTCTTTTTTTTTTTACACTAACACCAATACTTTCCTTTCCTGACTTTGTGGTGCTAAGGGTTGCATTTGTTTGCCAAATATTAAGGTATTGCGTGAAGAAGAGTTTGCACCAGTAAAGAATGCAAACGGGTCAAATTTTGACACCCCAGATAGCGCTCGGCTTCTTGTTCTCCGACTTCACACTCGTTGGGTAGTTGCCGCTGGTGGATTCTTAACGCATTCAGTGCCTTTATATGCAACTGGTAATTCATGCACTTTGTTTTCATTCACATGCTAGTATGTGCATAAAGGAGGGGAAGGAAATAAAACCAAAGAAAATGGATGATTGTGCATGATTTTGACCTGGAGTCCTGAATAGGAGGTCTCATACTCTGGTCTGTTAACTGACAGTAAAATTCTACCTTTGGAAAAGCGATGGGCAGGGTCTAGTGTGACTACCATAGACCCTCAATTTACATTAATGTAGATATGACTGTACTGTGTCAATTTCCCTGGAGAAAGTCTTGGCAGCTCTCTGACAATGGTGTGGAGCCTCAATGCAGGCCCCACAACATTGTCAGAGAGCAGCCCAATAGGGCGGCCTCACCCAAGAATTTCTCCTGAATATGGATCTTAAACATCAAGGTTAAAATGGTAGTGGTGAAGTTCATATCTCTATTTTAAAAAAACATGTGAAAAGTGAACAGTTGTACTATGTGAATGAAAATATTTAGAAGAATAAAACTTTCGTTTTCCTGCATTTATCTTTTTGGCCCATTTCTAGTCTTTGTGCTCTTAATGTAATTCTCAGTTCTCTGACATAATTTATGTTGATCAAATTCTCAGGTGTAGAGGTGTCACCTCTTTGTTCTTATGTTGGAGAAAACCTAGAAGCTATATGCCGCGGAAGAACCTTCCACGCCCCTTGTGAGATTACATTTTAATGAGTTGAAAGAAACGTTTCTTTTTTATTTTATTTTTTCTTAATTTGTGCGGCTGTATTTTACCGGAAACTAGAGTGAGTTAGGTCCCTCTCTCTTTGAGGTGTTGTGATAAGTTTAGTGGGTGATTTGCGTTGTATAAATATAAAATGAAGGTCTTGGGACAATTTGATTATGATCCAATTCTATCAATATATGTTTTGCAATTTTCTTCTTTGGCAATTATTGTCCTCCTTGATTAATTATGAGCCCCATTGATGCTTCTCCTCCCTCTTTTGTGAGTGTTATTCGTTTTCAGTTCTGTTTCTTGATCTTTCAATCAAAATAACAAAAATAAGTCGTAAAACAACCTCGTATCAGATTTGGAACTTGTGTTGGAAGTTTGTCAAAACCATGGTTGAACTGTTCATCACAATGACATACTTCGATTCTTATTTCTGTACTGGGTGTGCGACTACAAATAATGATACAATATATCCAATAAGATGAAAACTAAGGGCATGGCTACTAATACTTTCATTTTAGATTTTTAGTTTTTACAATTTTGTCATAGACGAAGGGGAAACTATGTAGGAGAATGGGGGATGAAGGTAGAAAAAAGGATTTTATGAGGACCAAGGAAACGGTGAAATTAACTATAAATACTGACCTCACTTCAAAGCTACTGTCAAAGTGTGATTCTCTATATACAAAACATTAAATCTTTTATTTTGTTGTCCCACTCAAAGTAGTAAAATAAGTTTCCAGCCAATACAAGCATATCAGAGAGCATCCCAGTCACAAGACAAACACAAACCACAATGCTCCATTGCAACCCCAGAAGGAAAAAGAATAAAAAAAAGCAAGAAGGGGTTTCAGGCTCCGGGCAGAAAAGTTCCACAAATTGCCAGAGAAAATGAGAAGTCACATAAGGCTGTAGTGTGGGAACCTGAGAAGTAACACGAATGACACCAAGCATTAAGAAAAAAAGGGCCAATAACATGAGATAATGACTATAGTTAGATCATATATCAAATACATCAGCCAACAATGACTGTTAACTAATTATGCATAGCACTTTTGGAATGGAAGGCATCATGCACTTACAATAAATCCACAGCTTAGGCCATAGTAGCAGTTTCTATCATTGGAATAAACATTCTCCATGCAGGTTCAATGATATGGTGATACCCCAAGTAGCGGCTCCATGCCCGCCAACTGATGCTGCAGGAACTCGTAAACTGATTCAGTTGTTGTGGCAGCTATACGAACAACCACCCCAATTCCCTGAAGACATAAAGAACCGTTGGCGTGCATTAATAATGAGTCGTGCCGTGCAATAATAATGATTAGACATATTGAGGAAAAATGAAATGTAGAAGTCAAATTTCATCAATCAAAATCACATATCAAATCTACCTTTATATGAATTAATACAAGTAAAGATTGTGACCAAGATTGATCAAGTTTATACATGCAATTAGAGATTAACAGGAAACAGAGCTCATAAACGGGATTTCACAAGTTACTGAGGTGGTCAGTGGTATTGACAGGAAGGTTTAATGATTTAATGGAAAAGTCATTACTACTTGCAAAATTAGTTTATTAAGAGCTTCTACAGCTCTCATTCAAGGATAAAGAACATTTCGCAAGCCTTGGTTTAACACCAGAAGATTAACAGGCGCTTAGCAGCATGACCCGATCAATATACCTTAGGACCAAAAACACTTGAAGAAGCAATAAAGCTTGGTTTGGTGAAGCGATTAGCAGAATTTGGTTTTAATTGGCGACCAGAGGCAGTGGAAGGAATGTGTAATTGCTCAGACATCATCCTCTTCACGTTTTCTTGAACTAGGTTTTGAATGTGCTTGATCCTTGGCCTACAATGAAGCAGCCACAAGTTAACATTGATTTATTCCGTTAATTCTGTACATCATAACAAGTAAAGTAATGAATGACAGTGATTAAATTCAATAACGGTACACGAGAAGATGCAAAGGATCTATGCATAATGAAGTACTCACCCCAACAGTACAACCATTGCAATGACTTGGTAGTCCTGCATGCGTTCTGCAATCGAAGAAATACTTCCACGCTCCAGGTGCACCTGTAACACTGAGCCATCTGAGTAGAAGAGCAAGGCAAGACAACAGGATTTCGACATGCAAGCTCATTTCACAGAATTTTAGTGCAAGCATAAAAACAAAGTTTATTTCTAATAAAAAAGGAACAGGAAATACATACATATATGTATATATGTATAGAGAGAGAGAGAGAGAGTTATATTATGTCAATGGGTATGTTCAGGTGATTAAAGTTTTACTAGGTTGATAGCATATAACCAATCCAAAATATAGTCAAGTAGTTACCAAATTCCCTCTGGTGAAAAAAAAACTTATCGGTAGAAGTACCACCACTTAGAACTAAGCATTAGCCTCTTTAGACGGCAACAAATACAAAATGAAATAAAAAGAAAATGATTACCATGTCAAGAAACAAAGGCTCATCATCTTCTATAAATATGTGGTTGGCACTCTTATAAAGATCAAAATCCCATTTTTCTCCACTTTCATGACGCCCACTGGTAATCCAATCAACAATGACCAAACTTGAGTTAGAGGCTATCCTAAAGACTTGTTTCTGAGAGTACCTTGCTGTGGAGAAACATGTCACCGGATCTGGAATGACAGCCAAAAGAGCATCGCTCCCAACTCTTGCCTACTGTATAGAAATGTGATTTCCAAGATTCACAGGTAATGTAGCCATTGACAGAAGCATTAACTAATCAGAACACATAATTAGAATAACTGTATATTGATAATGTCCCGAAAATGTGCGGCATTAAATTACTCTATGTTTGGTTAGGTGAGATTGTTACCTCCAAGACTTGTTCACAGCACTTTGATCCCAGAGACTTGTAGATCTACGCAAGAACATAAATCGACTTAAGAAATCTAGACACAAGGCATTTCAATGAAGCCAATTCTCCAAACCATCTAATGGGAAAAAGGGAATATTATTAAATCTGAGAATGAAATATATTTTCTGTAAGTAACCTTAGTGGAAGCTTGGGTTGTTAAGACAGTGGTGCAACCATCTCCAATGGTAAATTCACATGAAATAGAATCTCCCTAAACAATAGAACAAAGTCAAATAAATTAACCCCAAAAAAAAAAAAAACAGATTACAACCCACAAGCAAATAAACAATCATAAACAAAGCAAAAATATACACAATAGATGGGAAAAGGGAAAAAGAACAAGACAAGGAGAGCACATACAGAGACAATGCCACCACCATAGGTGAGGGTGTAAACCCAAACAGCATCAGTTTCAGAGGAACCCACCTGAGGAAAAATCATAATTAGCATCCCAAACTGATCAATTCATATTATTGTCAACAAAAAACAGGTACCCACATGTCCATATGATATGATATGTGAGCTAAGATTGCCAAAAGAGAAAATATGAACAAAGCCAAAAATGAGACCTTTCTGGGAATTATAAACTTGAGAGGATACTTTGAGAAGCATCTTGTCACTGTTGACCTTCCTCCCACTTTATCAACCACCACCCTTCCCTGTTTTTCCATCTCTCCTCTCTCTCTCTCTCTCTCTCTCTCTCTCTAGAGCTGTATGGTGTTATACAAGCGAGGCCAAATTGGGAGCACGTGTCAAAAAATTGGGTCGGGTCCGACGTATCGGTTTAAACCCGTTATCTTTATCCGGGTTCAAACTTTTTTTTCCTCGTTATTTTTAGGATTTTTTTTTTCTTTTAAAAAACCCAAAACAAAACCCCTCTTCCTCAGTCGCTCCAGTCTCTAGGGTTCGAACTCAGCTATCACCAGCTCAGAACTCATACTCGTCTTCTCCAAGGTACTCTCTCTCTCTTTCTCTGTGTATATATTTTATGTTATATACAATCTATAATGTTTTATTTTGGACGTGTGAATCAGAAATGGTTGCTTTTGTGTTTTAATATCAAAGTGTCTATTTTTAATGGAGTTTACATCGAGCTCCGAAGTGGGCTCTTCTTTGTTTATTAGTTTTCTTTACCTTCTGTTTCATTGCTCAGAAAATGGGATCAGAAAATTTCAACGGAAACTTCAAATGATCCCTTGCTTCCTGTCTATTCTGTTTTTGATTGCTGAAGACGAGGCTTAGTTGAAGACAAAGTCTCAATCTTGTTATTAAAATATACCAGAAAAACACAAAGCTGAAGCGTTTTCTATCTCAGAATCCAAATGACGTTATTCTGGGATTCAAAATTTCGCCCCCTACTCTCAGAAGTCAGAAACCAAACATTTTTTTTCTTCAATTTTTATGATTTGATAATTTCTTTTGATATAAATATAAAATGATTTGATGGTTGAGGAATGACCTCACTTGAGATCGATAATGTATTTTGATAGGAAACGAACTGATAGTTGAGGAATGCTAGTTTTATTTATTTATTTCAAAGAGTGTATTTAGTCAAGCTTTCGTTTTGTTAGCGTAGTAATCTTTTCGTTTTATTTTTTAGATATCCACTCTTCGATTCTGTCAAACTTCAATCGTTTAGCACTAAAATGCCTTCAAATTAACTATAACAAATGCATCAAACAGGTTGTGTGTGGATTCCAGCCTCAGATAATTGCTAAAGTGAGTGGCGAAATGTGTTCCTCTTAGGTCGATTCCCACTTGTTAGAGAACGGACTCTTGTGGCAACCTTGAAAAAATGAGCTTGGTCTTAAGATTAAGGCAGCATTTGCCTAATGGGTTTTGCAGAAGACCCCTTATTTCTCCCCTCGCAGCACTGAATCCTGGTAGCTTAAATGGGTTTTGTCAAAACTTTAGTCAACCTGCAAGGAAAGAAGAGGAAGAGGAGGAAGAAGTGGAGATTGACCAAAGGAGACTACCTGCTGATTATGATCCAGCAACATTTGATCCAACAGAGCATCGCAGTCCTCCAACTGATCGTGTTTTTAGGCTCGTAGATGAAATATCATCACTCACACTGGCCGAAGTTGCTGAGCTGGGTTCCATTATGATGAGAAAAAAGGGAATGAAGGAACCACCAATTGTTGGAGTCATGAAGCCAGGAGCTGCTGGATTAGGATTGGCAATGAAGGGACCAGCAGCAGCTAAGGAGGAGAAGAAACCAGAAAAGACTGTCTTTGAATTAAAATTGGAGTCATTTGAGGCAGCTTCTAAAATAAAACTGATCAAGGAGGTAAGGGGCTTCACTGACTTAGGCCTCAAGGAAGCAAAGGATTTAGTGGAGAAGGCACCATCTGTGCTAAAGAAAGGATTATCAAAGGAAGAAGGAGAGCAACTAATAGAGAAGCTCAAAGCTGTTGGGGCAAAAGTTGTTCTTGAATGAAATCATTACGACGATGCATATGTACTCCACTTTGAGAGGTTGTGAGATTAGTTAATGTTTCTTGCGGAACACCAGGTCACCAGCTTTTCTGAAATTTTAGCAATCCATATAAAACACATCTCAGATTTTCCAATTGTTTTGAAGTTGAGATATTTTCTGATGATTGATTTCTTGTTGTATTGATATCTAAGCTGGTAAAGGTGAGATTTTGATTAAGAATGGGTCATCGACATGGAAGGCTTTCCATAATTGAAGGGGGAAGTTTTTGAGTATGTTTTATGTCATATCTTCATAGTGTGTTGTAATTTTGTACAGAGCAGGTCCTTGTAAAAATAAGTTGCGACGGGTAGCCTTATTGCACTTCTAATGCTAAGGGGTGGAAAGCTCCAAGTGCTAAGAATGAGATACCTATTTACTTGGCTAATTAGTAGAACTTGCAATTTGAATCAACTAAAATTCTGTGTATTTGACACAAACGAGCCAAGCCCCTTCACAAATTAGGTGTAGGCTAAAAAGAGAACCGGATTATATTAATTCTTGGACTTCTGAAGTAGCTCGGGATCCTGGGACAAGTACCAAATATATTCCGTCTTTATGATCAAGATCTGTGTATATCTCCCTATTCACCAAACTAAAAAGGGCACGGATTCCTTCAATTCGAATTCTCCTTTTGATGTGTGTATGTATGTGTATTTCATCTCCAGACCCTCCACCTGTGAAATAACAAATTGCTACGTTATAATTTTACAGTTCTGCAAAATAAGAAATATGAAGATAAAAACACGGGCCGGAGAAAAAGCATGTTATTGGCACACCAAAACAAAGAAACAGTGTGGCATACGATTAGGACCGAGGTTGGTTTCCAAGACGTTGGGGAAGTTCCCTACAGAAAATAAGCAGCAAAAATCCCTTATAACTCACTTTTGGAACTGCATTG